TGCAAGGGAGCAATTAGTGTATGAGCATTGTACGAGCGTTTGTTTCATGAACGTTGTATGAGCCTTGAGCCGCCTTCGTCGATCGCGCCGCCGTCGCTCCGTCGATCACCGCCGTCGATCGCCCTTGTTATAATTAATTGTGTCCAGCAATCAGCATGTATGTATCGGGTTGGCGGAGTCCTTGATTCAGGAAGAAAGTAGTGTGGAGACATACGACGAATGGCGTACCCTGGAGGGCCAAGGTATGGTTTCCAGACTATTTGTATTGTTTCTGTCTTCTATGCAATCGTGAAGTATACGTGCGGTTATTGGCCCCTCCCTGTTCTTCTATGTTCTTCCTTGCTTAATTTCTCGGTAAAGCGGTCCGATTGGCCAGCTACAGCTATAGTAGTAGTGGTGTTATGTTGTAGACACACGTTTGTTTTACGTTTTACCGTATGCCTCGCCGGTCCGGCTGTAGAAGAGTTTGGCAGAAAAGTACACTAAGGAATAATAAAAACACACACAGAAAGACTACCCGTTCGAGATATACCCACAGCAGTCGAACGGGATATGGTGGAGTCTTTTCAGTGAGTGGAAGGAAAATGCCAGATTTCGAGCCCCAACAAAATGTATGCCAGCGTTCGGAAGGAAAGCGTTGTGTTGGTTTGTGGAGGCGGATCGGAATTCATCGGTAGAGTAGCGAGCGTGGTCACGAAATGTTCTATTCTGTTCCCTCTTCTGTTCCCTTTTCTTGAGGGGGTTGGTAATCTACAAGAGGCCGCGCGCAGAAGTTCGCCGGAGGTTGCATTTGCCTCGCATGTTCGTGCAAGAGACAAAATGCGCGAACCCAGCAGGTAAGGCTTTCCTTGAAGAACGGTCCTACATGGTAGATGCTACTACTACTGCTGTACTGCTGTTTGGAAGTCGGAATCGGAGAGAGTCTCTCCCCGCGCGCTTGCTCGCCTGATAGCACGCTTGACGCCGGATGCGCCCCGGTGGAGCTGGAACCCGTCGTTCTGGAGCACAATCAATGCCCGCTACTATTACTGCTGTTGTCTGTCACGCAGCTGCTTGCGGATCATCCAACAACAATGCACCGCAGTTGGCACCTTGGCGGGTTGTTCGGTTGTTCCGCATGATGTGGTGTCCGGAAAATGTCCGCATCCATCATGTGGCATTCATCCGAGCGAAACCGGGACACGGGTCGATTTGGTATGTGCGGGTGTTTCCATTTTGCGAAGCCCCCCATTCGCAGGTACGCTGCTCACAGCACAGTCTGCCGTGCTGTCAAGCCAACGACCACACCACTTTGTTGCGTAGTCCGTCCTCTCTTTGGTGGACCAGCGGCGAGCCACTTGTCAGTGGAGAAACGAAGAGAAGTGAAGCGTTTTCCCGTCGTTCCCCGTGCGAGGTGTCGTCGTCGCCGCCGCGGGCTGTATCGATTGCCATGGGGTGCCCTTTCGCCCAGCTGTCGCCCTTGTTGCTGCTCAGCTGTCTCGTGCTCTTCTTCCAGTTCGGGGCGTCTTTCCTCTCACCGAAGCCGCTGCTGGCCTCTCTGCAGCGCGGGCGATCCTTGGCAGGTGAGCGAGCGAGGGGAGGCTTTTCGTTTAGAGCTCCAGAGACGTACGCGCGGCCTCCAGCATGCTGCCGGCGGCCCAGAGGAGGGAGCCGACAAGAAAAGTTTGATTTTTTGACGAGTCGGATTTGTTATTTTCTTACAAACCTGTCAGCAACAGCAGCAGCAGCAGGCCAGCAGGGGCAGCAGGCAGCAGCACCGGACCGGGCCGTTACAGCTTTAGTAATGAAGTACCTGTTCGTAGCCGTCGAGGTCGAAAAGATCACTTACGCGTCAGATGTTTGCCTGCCTTACCGTACACTGCGGTGGGCTTTTCTTGGAGCAAAAAACAGCAGTGAGAAGGGACAATAACAGCAGTCACTCCGTCGCTTCTGTACAGCAGTGCTGATGGGTCTTTGGTTGCGCCTGACGCAGTTGAACCGTGTGTAATTGTAGAGATTTTGGCTCGAGGTGGGGTGAAATGAGCGTGCAAGTTCTGTCCTGAGCACCCTCCCCCTTTTTTGTATACACACACGTGCTCGTGTAGGCTACTGCATGCATCTCAGGGCGCCCCATACTTCCTTCGAGTCACACACACACCACAACTCAATATAATCTCATCTACAAGTCCCACACTCCGTCCGCCCCGCTTGAGGCCTGCGGGCGGCTTTTTCTGAACGACGATATTGAAGATGAGGTGTCGGGGGAGCGGGGAGCGTAGGCGGTAACTTGTAAAGAAGGGCTTTTTGCATTTTTTTGGGCTCATGTGTAGGCCCCGAAGCTCCGGGACTTGCTCAGCGTGGAAGACGATGCAGCAGCAATATCATTTCGCACCCGCGGCCACATAATGACGGGATGTCGGGCGGATGGCGATTCGGTGAAAATCGGACAACAGCAGAGGATCTCTCAACATTTGTTAAAGTTATTAATGCGCCTCCTGCGCCGACCTCACTGGCTGCTCTGGACGTCCGCGTCCATGGTGCCCTTCGCCCGTAGGTGACTGCCTCAACGGTTTCGCAACAGAAACCCCCGAGTCTGGTCTTTGATTCAGGCAACAAATCGGCAGATACAGTAGCTGTAAAAACGGATCGATCCGCTCCTTTTTCTCCCGCGTTTCCCGACAAGAAGGGTAGAGTATGCATTATGCCTCTAAACGGGTAGATGGCTACAAATACTCGCCGTTTGCCTGAAGTATTTTCCAGAAAAAGTCCTGCCAGTGTAGATAGTATGTAAAATAAAAAAGAAACCAACTCATAGGCCGCGAGAGAGATGGTGGCAAGAAACAGAACTCGGCGTACATGGTCTCTATTGTAGGTTGGTGTTGTTTTTTTGGTCGCATCACAACTTCTTGTGGGCATTTCCCTGAAAATATTCCAAGGTCGACCCCGTGCCGTGCGGTGGCGGGTTGGGCATTCGGTTGGGGACTACAATGTACGGGAGGTCGTTTTTCGTCACCCCCACCCCCCGCGCACCGTCTTACCTCCATGCTTGTGTGGCAGCAAGGTGTGTTGAAGCACGTCAACACCAGTTGTGAACACATCGACATGAGACACTTCGAGTTTCTCCTACTCTCCAAACACGCCTACTTATCGGCGGAGTACTGCTGTACCTCTTGACGGACGTGATCCTGCCATCCACCCCTGTTACTACTGCATTTTTCAGCCGATCACACATATGTACCATGTTTGCACACGATACGACAACACTCGCCCCCAAGCCGGATGCCTTGGCGAGGGAGTACGTGTACGTGGCCACGCGGAACACACCCATTCACGTCCCCCTCCCCCGCCCCCGCTTGCCAACACAGATGCCTCCGCTGGCGTAGGCTCATCGTCCCGAAGCCGGGCGGCGTCGCCGCCACCGCACCACGGGGGTTCCTCGAGGGACGGGGGGGGCAGGGGGGGGTCGTCTCGCAGCGGCGGGGGGCCGCGCATGCTGGGCGTGTCGGACGTGCTGGCGCCCCCGGAGCTGCAGCTGCAGTCGGACGAGGGCTTCGAGGGGGAGCCGCTGGCCTGGACGGAGTCGCTAGGCTCGGGAGGTCCGCTTTTCTTTGCGGACCTTCTCCGGACGCAGGCGTCCACTCTCGAGGTGACTTTTTTTGTTGTTTATTTTGCTGTGTTTTTGTTTTGGAGTGCACGAAGAAAAGATATAAACGACTCAAGGTGAAAAGGACACCCGTCATTCCGCTTTTTCCGTGTCGAACCTTCTCCGGACACGGGCGTCCGCTTTTGAGGCGACTTTTTTTTCTTTTCTTTTTCAAAAAGAGGGCACGAAAGAAAAGACGAAACGACATCTGTATTGGAGAGGTCGAAATGAACATCCGTGTTGGGGTGCTTTTGAGGCAACTGAAGTGCCAGGTGTGCCGGTATTTCCGTTGTTGCTGGTTATCGTGTTGCTGTGTCAATGTGTCGACGTTGTGCTTCAGCGGTCACGTATTTGTTGGTGTCGTCGTTGGGCGCATACAATTACGATGACGAGAAGTTAACCCCATGTTTTGGTCGGTTTTGAGCATTCGCTAAAAGCGCCGCAAGAGTTCCTTCCACTGGGCCGGTCATCCTCCCGAGCTTGATTTCACCGCCGGTGGCTTCGATCCACCACGCACTACGCCAGTTCTTGTTTACGACGGTGGTGGCGGCCATGATGTGGTCCCACATCGTTTGGGCTCGGTGCTTGAGGCCTTCGCTCTTGCTGGTGCTGTACTGGAAAACTAGCGTCGTGTCGGGTTGTCTGAGTTGCAGTCAGTCGCCGAATGCTTATGAGCGCCGACCAACCATTCCGGCTTGTGGAGATACGGATGGTTTTGTTGTCGTGTTGCCTACCCCTCCCGATGCGAACATTACTACAAGTGATCCCCCGGAGTTGGCTCATGAAAGAACAGCAGTGCCATCAAAGGGTGGAGCAAGATGAAAGTAAAAGCTGGCTGCCACCTATGACTTCCCCCAACCTGGAACAGGTCACAGAGCAGACGTGTTTGTTCACTCGAAGAGCCCGGCGAACCTTAACGAATCGAAAAGAGCAACTTGCATATCTGTTGTATACGGTAGTCTTTCACTCGGAGTCTAGATACCATCTACATGTTGCTGCCGAGGACTCGCGCACCAAATGATCATGTTGCATTTTGCGTGTCACGCATGCGCTGCATTGATTGGCCGGGGGCTGGACGTGAAGTAGCGACCCATCTCGTCCTTCCACTTCTTCGAATATCACTCTCCGCTCATCATTCGGAGATTGTTTTGCAGAAACCTATGATACATGCGGACGCTCGCCTCCCTTCCTGTCTGCGTGAGATCTCCGACATCACTCTGCATGAGGCCTCCGAAATCACAACAACAACAACACGCAGCAATTCTCAAGAATGTTGCGTTGGATATCTCAACACTACAATCCTTTGGAATTGCAAGTATTAAAACTCAGGAGTATTTTCAGTTGGAATCATAACCTTTTCCCCAACAACATTGCCTTGGAACCAGAAACATATCTATCCCACGAGTTTTATTGCCTTAGAACCACACACATCAGCTCACGGGCAGCACTGCCTTGGAATCACAAAACATTTCACTCCCGAGTGTCATTGCCTTGGCATCACAAACATTTTCTCACGACTATCATTGCCTTGGAACCACGAACATTAACTCAAGACTGTTCATTCTCTTGGCATCTCAAGCATTATCAACCTCTTTTTGTCCTTCTCGTTCCATGATCCCCCTCGAATGCGGGTCGCCATAGTTCGAGCTGGCACTCGGCCGGTCGCCAGTGCCCCGGTGCATGGACACCGTGTGCAACCCGGAGCGCCGGTCGCGGGTGCGGAACCTCATTTATACCGGCGACCGCGTGCGTAAGGTCCGCATGAGCTACCTCGACACTCCGGACATGCAGGTGGGTGGTTGTGGCTGGCGGAACGGGCGGCTTTGGCCGATCGCCGGGGACATGATCGAATCGAGCTTGCTTGGAATACCTCGTTCAAGATCAACGATCTTTGTCCCTATCACGATGCTCGCTTCAACAGGGCCTCTGACCCCAGGAAAAGTTTGCGTTTCTGCGTCCAAAAGCTGCTGTTTGTTGTGAGGGAGAAGGTGTGGCTTCACCGACCCATGGTGGAGGTGACGCCACGGCTGCTATCTTACCCCGCACTACAGGGGAAGAATTGACGGTTTCGGATGTAGTGTTCCAAGCAAAACGTTCTTGTGAACAAGAGGGAAACAATCGTTGTCGACATTGGGAAGATTGCACCCTTTTTCTAAAGGTTATCTCTCACACTTTTGTCTTCTTTCTTTTTTTTTTCCGGTGGTTTTCTTTTTTTTTTTTCGACATGTGGTTGTGATGGTCGCTAGCTTTGGAAGCATTAGGTCCGACCGACAATTTTTATCGAACAAATCTGTCCGGCAGGTGTACAGCACCGTTGCGTACAGCGCCCCAGGCCACGACTTCCCCCTGCTCGGCCTCTCCGCCATGGCGATGGGGAGCGTGAGGGTGCTGGCGCTGGACTTGCAGCCTCTTTTCCCCGGCGAGGACTACGCCGCCAAGTACGCCGACGCGAACGCTAAGCTCAAGGCCATCCGGAACAAGTACCCGCAGCTGGGCGAGGTGCGCGACGTGTAGTGGATGCTGATTTGCCGCTACTGTACACGCAATATAGCAGCTTTTTTTTTGGGGGGGGGGCGGGGGGAGTTCTGTGCACGTTACTTGCGCCGGGTATCAACTTGGTTGCGTTTTTTGTCTCCCTTATCCACTATGACGTTTTGTGTGTTGTGTGTTGTGCGCCCAAGATTGTATTCTCCCCGTCAAGAGTGTAATTCCCCCGAGATCGGGGGGGTGCCCGCCCGCCCGCCTAGTGGCCTCCTCGGACAATGGCGTGTCCTCTTCCTCCCCCAAGACACCTGACGTCACACATTCTTTGTTGTCTTCCGGAAGAAACAAGTAGTCAATTGATGTTGTGTGGTACAGGACACTATTATGAATAGAAGAGCGAGGACCCGATCATGAGCAAGAGCATCTTGACAAGAAAACGGGTTTTAGAATTTTTTACAGCGTGAAGAAATATAAGGGCGTAGGAAAATTGCGGTCAGCCGCCGGCACGACTTGCCAGACCGTTTGATAGCGTTGCACCCGCCTGTTCTCAATCGTTGAGACACTGCAAGGCTTTGGAGCCTTGTTACTGAAGTTCAGTGTTTCTTATGAGTGGCCTGGCGGTTTTTCCGAACCTTCAGCAGGAGCATATCATAGCACACGTAGCATGTCATAGCTTAGCACACCCGACAAACACATTGTTTTGTTTGCTTGTTGTCCGCCAATGACACCACAAATACAGTTTGAGCTGTTGCCCACAACAACTCACAGCAAACCCCAACGCCCACAACACCATCCCCCGTACAATATGTGTGCACCATATTCCTCTGCCACCGCCATGATTTACCACAGGAGCTTCGAAAGGATTACTACAAGGGGTCACCCTTTTTCTCGGACAGCATGATGTACGCGAGATGGGGGCCTAAGGAAGAGGCGGACGGTTTCATGGACAAGGTTGTCATGCCTGCCTTTCGAGGTGAGTCACCCATGATTGTCTCCCCCAACAGATGAACGGCATGCAAGCACTTGTTCCGGGGACGCCCCATCCATCCTGTAAAGGCACGTCGGGTTTATGGCCTTTGGGTTGGTTGTGTCCGTGTGATGAAATGTGCCTTGAAACGCCTTGTGGACTGTGTTAAGCTATAGTCGTTTGGCTCCGATATAAGAGGGGGTCCCGATACAGGAGGGCCAAGAGCCTTTGTCACACAACCCTCTTAGTTTATATCAGAGCCACGACGTTCTTGCCATGTTGGAGGTCTCGTCGCCATTTACCTGGCCCGTCCGCGGGCGGTTCAAAGCTTCCGCCACCCAACGCCTCGGAGCATGTTCAGCTGTGAAGCGTCGTTTCTTGATTCTACCTCCCGCTGGAATGCTTGAGTTTTTCTCTCTTTTTTTTGCTGTTGGGAGTGTCCTGGGTCGATTAAGAAACATCGTCTATAACCCTCCTTGCGTGGAGTCATTTTTTGTTTTCTTGTTCAAGAATAAAGCACTGGTGAAATGAGACACGGCAACCGGCTCGTTCACAAACAAGCGCTGGCGTGTATCATCTTGCCTTGATTGCGTGTCGTCAAATACCCCCTTTTTCTTGCCCAAGCTTACGTAAAGCTCGATGGGTATCATTTCCCATGCGATGTCGTCATATACACCACCCTCTTTTCATTCCCCCCAAACTTATCACGATATCCCCCGCCCTATTCCCATGCGATGTCGCCATAAACCACCCTTTTTTTGTTCCCCCAAGCTTATCACGATATCCCGATATCTATTCCCATGCGAAACTATCGCGCCCTTTGTTGCCACGGCAGAGTGCATGCAAGCGTACGTTGAAATCGTCAACCAGGCCCCCGCGCACGCGCCAGGTTCTCCCACCGAACAGGCGGTACTAGAGCGACAGGCAGAGTTCGACCGGTAAGAGGCCGCGAGACGGAACACGGTGGGGCGTGGGCAGGGTATCGGAGTGACACAACCCGTCTGTTTGTCACCTCTCCAATTTTAGATGACGAACAAGAAAGGAAAAAATCGTGACGATTGTGAAAAAACGAGTGCAATGGCGTGTGTGGGGGGGGCGAAACGGAATGACACGACCCGTCTGTTTGTTTCCTCCTCCAATACAGAACGATGGAACAAGAAAAGTAGTACAAATTGTGACGACTAAAAAAAAGCGAGTTCAACTCCCCCCCGCCCCGCTTGGTTTGTTTCGATGACGCTGGGAGCCTTGCGCTGTCCTGTAGACCCGCCGTGTCTTATCTCTTGCGTGGTTTGTGGTGTTTGCTCTTTTTCCCGTTCTTTGGAAGCCGAAGTCAAAAGGGTAGACTAGGTAGTCAGCGCTGATCAGTCGTGCGTTTTTTTTCGGGTTCCATTGTAGAAAGTCTGCTATGTTTCTCGGTTCTGGAAACTGTCGGGACTCGTTCGTGTGGTGTTGACGTCGTCATGCAGCGCCTGATCATGTGGCCCCCCATATAGACTCCAAGCGGACATTGATCACAGTATTTTTCACGTACAGTGGGGGTCCTCGAATACAGAGGTCGCCCTAAATAAGACGGGTGACAATGACTGACATTAGAGGGAGTAATCAAGTTGAAATACACGTTGAATAAGGCGGCTGCCTCACAAGACGTGCGTCAATTGACTCCGGCTCCCATCGTGAAATGCCATCCGCAATCGTGTTATCGACACCCCTAACATGAGCCGCCGCAAAGCACCACCCGCTGCCCATCTCCGAACATCCGAGCATACGCGCAAGTGCCCCCGACCGGGGCTCGCTTCCCCCCCGACACTTTTTCTATACAGGCGGTTATTATTAGTACCTGCCCCTCCACCACCTTATTCCGGGACCCCCGCTGTACCCAATACGTTGTTGCCTTCCGTCTTGGATATTGTATGTTGTGACTTTGAATGTAGACGTTGTCTCCGACGGTACAAGTAGAGTGATGCAAGACGAAAGGGAACCGGGTTGCGATCCAGCACACGCCCTGCACTAAGCTTGGATGTATGTAGTCGAAATCAGGAGGGGAGCGGGGGTATTGTCAACACTGCAGTAAAACTGGGTTGTTGACGTTGATCCGGTGACAGTTAGTTGCCGTAAGGATGCGAGAGAACGCACGGGGGTTGTCAGCGTTTTTCAGAGCTTGATTGCTCCACAACCAGGAGTGTGTTGACACCAACCGATACCTCTCAGGAAAGCCCTCGCGACGACGTACCTCCAAAACCACCTTTTCGGCAGTGGTACAGCAGTACCCTCCTGGTTGTGGAGAAAACACTCGGTGAAAAACACTTGACACCCTCGTGCATTCTCTTGGCATCCTTGCGGTAGTTGTCGTCCCCTATCAAGGGGTCGGAGAGGGGGGGGGATGAGTTTTCATGCCCACCGGACCCCCTTATGCTATATCCTACCAAGGATTATGGCAGAGGGGCAGGGGGGAGCCGGACATACTCGGTTGCAATCTGTGCGCCCTTTAGAAGCCGAAATCGAAAATGTATCTAATGGATTGATGTCGGCTTCTAAGAAAGTCGGCTGACTAATTAGTTTAATGCTTTGATTTCGGATTCTGAAGCCCTCCTCGTGTATATATGCAGAGGCTAACGTCGGGAAGAGGGGTGTTGTGGTCAACGGTCAATTGATACAATCTAACTTCAACCAACCTCCCTCTCTCTCACTCCGACACTGCAGATTTCACGCCGAACGCGAACAAGTGCGACCGATCTTGACCTCCAAGTTTGGCGCCTCGTTCGCGGACACTTACGTTTCGGACTTCCTCTTCGCGTACGGTGGCGGTCAACGGTAACGGCTCTTCCGGAAAAGAGCCGTTGGGAGAGCACGTTGGTAGGAGACGATTTGGGGGCGGGCACGTTTTTGTAACGCCATCGGCTGGGTCTGAGCCCAACGGGTTGTGTGGCGTGTGTGTGTTTTTGTCCTCCGGTCTATGGATTGTGTTGCGTGAGAGCACCCAGCGTGTTTGTTGGAACCGTCCCCGTCGTAGATTGGTGCTGTTGCTCTTCAACCCTATTGTAGATGTTATTGCGCTGTACACACCGGCTGTTCCCAGCGCTATATTGGTTTGTGATAGCGACTCCCGGCCGCTTTAGGCCGGCTTGTCGTGGCGGCTGATCTCGGGCACCCGCCACTTTTTTACCTGAAATGGCGCGCCCGTGCTCCTCGTGAAAAAGTTGATTTTGGCCTACAACGCGCTTGTTATGACGCCACCTCTCGGCCGCGCGTCACAGCAGTAGCTTGTGGTGGGTGGAGCTTCTACAAGTAATTTATGTGCTATAGCTGCCTAGTACTGGCGAGAGGACCGGGGCATTCGTGGGGTCGGCATGCCGGGCGATTTGAGACTATTTTTGTCTAGGGGAGACTGTAATAATGTAGCAAGGAGCTTTTGTGTGTATTGCTGCTTTTGTTGTTTTCGTGACAAGATGAGCTGTTCGGGGTTCCCGGCGGTCGGTACGAGCTGTGTATGGTTGGCGTGTTGGTAACGTGGACATATCTTTCCGACAGCCAGTCAACCACACCTCATTCGAGGACCGCTATGAGACTATCTTCCACATCCACCAAAAGCCTACCACGTGCCAAGAGCGTAGGGTCTGCTGCTTCTGACAAAGACCGTTCTTGTTGCTGCGTACGGGGGGGGCATGTAACAACGTCATGTGCTGTTGCGAACACTCTGAAAAAAGTTGCTTTTGACGCCACCTCTCGACCGCGCGTCACAGCAGCAGTTTGTGGTGCGTGGAGGTTCTAGAAGTAATAGATGTGCATAGCTGCCTAGTACTGGGGGGAGGACTGGGATGTCCTTGTGGTCGGTATGCCGGGCGATGTGAGACTCTTGTCTAGGGGAGACTGTCATTGTAGCAAGAACGGAGCTTTGGTGTTGATTTACTTCTTTTTTGTGAGCTTTTTGGGGTTCCCGGCCGTCGGTACGAGCTGTTTGGTTGGTCCTTGCTAGTAACGTGGACATATCTTTCCGACAGCCAGTCAACCACACCTCTTTCTAGAACCGATTCGAGACTGTCGTCAACACCCACAAAAGCCTACCACGTGCCAACAGCGTAGGATCTGCTTCTTCTGGCGGACCGTTGTTGCGTACGGGGGAGGCATGCAACGTCAACGGTTGTTGTTGTTGCGAAGAGACCTCTTGGCACCCGCTAATGGCCACGCGAGGTTTCCACTGCTCGACGCAGCCTGGGTTTAGTGCGCATCCTGCTGTTTCGAACCTCCGGGGGATCTCTTCTTCCCCCCTCTAATGCCACACCTAGACAGCGCACACGGCCTTGGGTGCCTCAGAACTCAGCATTAGTTTGGTCGAAGGATCTCAGTCCTACAAAAGTGCAAGTGTTCCATACTCATCATATTTCCTCATGGGTGTACACATCAATCCACCCCCCTCGTTTTCTTAGCTCCCTCATTCTCGCCAGAATTCTCCCACCCGCTCTTTTTCCGCTGTTGTTGCTGTTGTGTTTGCGGTCTGGAGTGCAGCACCATTGTTGTTCAATCAATGTTCAAGTTGGGCCGAGGGGGCTCCGCGAAGAAACATGCGGGTGCGTACGGGCGAGGCAAATATATGGGTGAGAGCTCCCAGATCAGGGAACCGGAAAAGTCAGCAACACACACTGCTGCACGTGATTCGTGCTGCACCGCACAAGCAGAGTGTGAGGAAAAGGGGGGTTCGTTCGTTTCTTTTGCGCGGGAAGTTGGTCTTCTGGGAATGCAACTCATACGAACGTTTATCTGAGGTCTATTTACACCCACGGCCAAAGCACGGCCTAGCGGCCGCGAACTGGTAGAGAACGCGGCGCAGCCGCGTTCTCGGAATGCGGAACGGCGAGAGGGCGCTGGAGAGGGTCAAGGCTAGGAACCAACGCCGGACCAATCAGAGGGCGTAAAAGCCGGTAGATAGGAAGAGTCACTAACAGACTGCAAAAACTGCTGGAGGTTTATCTTCTTCGGCCACGACGGTGTCGACAATTGGCAAGACACCAGGCGGTGCGGCGAGACTAACTAGTACAGCAGGGCGACCAACCCAAACTAATATGAGTGTTGTCCTACCGCGAGCCGGACGAGGATGCTACCATGGGAACAGGGAAGCGATCCGGCTGTACCGTGAAATCTTGAAGGCGACCCGGTTGTTCCACTGGTGCAACGAAAAGGGGGAGCCATGGTGAGAAGCAATGCGATCGCTGGATGATGAGTCATGTGCTACTACTGCTTACCTACCCATACAGCCGGCAGCGGGATAAAAAAGGTTACTGCTACAGCAGTAATGTGCGTAGATGCTGCTGCGTCTGTACGCTGGACTAAGGCTCCTGGCGCTTAGTCTTTGTCAGGGCCGTTGCTATGCAGCAGTCACGTCCAACGCGCGTACGTACTCGCGGTGTCATCCTTGTCATGTTTTCCCTTTGACCTTTGACTACAAGGTACATTCACCATTCCCCTGACATCTGACATCACCGAACCCGCGAGGTTCCGCCGCACCGTGGTTGCCTCGGTGGGAATGGATGTGCCGCAACGCCGCAAAGCTGTTCGATATCCGAGGAGGCGTTTTTGTCCTGATGGTGCCCTCGATAGGTTGCCCACCCCAGCTGTTGGTTGTCCAACCCGGAGTAGTACGTCGTTCGCAGGGCTGTCGGAGATCGATTTTGCCCGCGAGGGATCTGTCGGCACACAGCAGTGCTTGTTTTTCACTGCAAGTATGCATATTTCAGCAGTAGTCCCTCTGATGATGAGTCAAACACTGTGGGTGTTGGTGTCCACGGGGTGGTTGTTGCGGAGGGTGGTTGTGAGCCATGCTTCCGGGGCTGGCTTCCTTAGTCATCCAAAAATTGATTCCTGTTTTTCGTTCGTCGCCGGTATTGAATGCAATGGTGTGTTTTGCGGAGGGTGGTTGTGAGACGTACATAATTGGGTGAACGTGAACACACTTGACCCAGCGACTGCAGTACCAAGGAGCAAGAGATACTGCTGTACCGCGGTCGGATCGTCACTGTTGGCATGATGGCATGATGGCATGATGGCATTGGGTTGGGTTTCGTCGACTCCGGTCTGAACGTTCGGGCGGCCTTGGGCCGATCGCGCTGCCGTCGGGCCCCCTTGTCCCAATGTGTTGTACTGCTGTAGGTAGTTGTTGTTCTTGTTGTTTTCGTTCTGGTTGTGGTTGTTGGTTTTGTTGCTGCTGCTGTTACTATATTCACATTTTTTTACGAAACCGTTCGGGTCTCCGCTCAGTACCTTCTCACTAGTACCTTCTAATGTCCGCACTGGTACCTTCTAGTATCCGCACTAGTACCTTCTAATGTCCGCACTAGTACCTTCTAATGTCCGCACTGGTCCAACTGGCGCGGACGCCTAACGTGGTCACAGACTCCCGAAAAAGGACAACATGATTCCAACAATCAAAAGTGAAGTAAAGTAAATATATGGGCCCAGGACAACAAGATACTCCTCGTTCGAATGAGAAACGAACATAACACGGTACGGTACGACTATTGTACTCTGTTGTATACCATGCATGTATTCTCTCAAGACGGTATACATACATGTGTTCTCTTGACTTGTGCTCTTTTCGGTCATCCTTCCCCAAATCGGTGTGCACCTGCGGTTCCACGATCATGCATGCCATGGTATCCGTCTCTCTATCGCTGGCAATCCTGCTCTGCTGCTGACGCGTCACACATGGTGGTTTCCCGTTGATATTTTCCCGCTTGTGTTCGAAATTCGTATCGCCAGGGGAAGAATACTTCGGGAGAGCTCTAGGAAGGAGTTCGAGCAGGCGAGACACGAGACGGCGAGTGTTGTTGTCGTATGCATACCACAGGGGTCAAGGTTAAGGTTTAGCGGGAGGGGCCGCCTCCAACCAGTGCCGGGGGGCTTCCACAAGCCAAACATGCGCTTGAGACCCCTTCCACAAGCCAAACATTCGCTTGAGACCCCGGTTCAGGTTTGTTGTTGTTGTTGTTGTTGTTGTTGTTGTTGTTGTCTTCACATTTAAAACCGTTCAAACCTCTCTACCCAGTACCTTTATCTGTCCATACTGATCAACCGGTCGATTCCCGTGGTCACGGGCTAACTTGCCGTGAAGAAGGTATTCTCAAATAAAATGATCCTCAAGCCAATTGAAATCAACAATAGATAGTCTGTGGCCCTCCGCTCCCCTCTACCACACGCCATGTGGGGCAAAAATGAAACTGGAAGTCAACATCACGGGCGAGAGAGAGACAGAGAGGTACATTCCCTGTTTCAATCTTAACCTTGGTACTGCACAGAACGGAGAGAAGGTCGTTTGGGGAAGAAACGAAAAGGACAAAAGGAAAATAAAAAGGAATAATGGGGCCACAAAACAATCACTGCGATAGGAGGTGAAATAAGCCAGCAAGCAGACACTTTCCGAATGACAGACATTGGGCTGGGCTGAAACCCAAAACTACCTGCAAGGAAAATGACGCGAATAAGGTATAAGGTGCCTGAGAACAGAGTTTGTAGGAGTGCGCGGTCTCGGTCCCGATACCATGGATTTTTCCGTGGTTTACCCGTATGATTCTACCCGTATCGTTCGTGCGCCGTTCTGTTTCTTCTTTTTTTGCGGTTTCTTTCTTTGTTCGCCGTCTGTGTCTCGTCTCATCTGCTCGCTTCATCTTCCCGCACCGACCGGTTGTTCCATGTGACTCTCGTCCAAATGTCCAAATGCCCGTCCCACATGTCCTGTGTCGTCTCGTGTGGGTGTGAGCTCGCGCGTGTGAAACAAACGTCTTTTCGTCGTTAACGTTGCTGCTGCTGCTGCTGCTTATTGTTGCTCGCCTTTTTCTCTCGATCCCGCACAGGACCCGCTCGTTGTGGCGCGGCTGTTGGTGGTCGGGAGACAGTGTTTGAATGACACCATCCGTGGGGTAAGTGCAGTGCTGTGCTCAGTAGCCTTCGCAGTTTTTTTTTTTTAATGTTGGATAGAGCTTGCAACCGGGTATGTTGGGTTAGGGTTAGGGTTAGGTTTTTTTGTTGTTGTCTCGTTATGTTAAATACCCACTGTTGTTGTAAGCAAGCAACGCAAACGCGCCAAAGAACGTACGAGCTCGAACAAAGAGGGAAAGGAACTGCCCAGCTACGACCGCGCTGGGCACGGACGGATCTGTTCTGTTTTTTGCCCTTTGCGTGCTCCTCTTTCGCTGGCGCGGGTCGTTGCTGCCGCTGTTCGTTTTCTTTTTTGCCCTTCATTTTCCGCACACGATCCGAATACGGTCTGCGTACCCCCTCCCTGTTCCATTTCCTCGGCACCCTTAATTTCTCGCGAAGGTGCCCCGCTGTGCTCGCCCTCCCCCCCCCAACACGTGCCGGTTAGAGAGTAACCTAGCACAGAGCATTTGTGCTTTTAAGTGGAGGAGAAACACCCAATGCAGCAGCTTTGCTGCTTGGTGCTGTTTATTGAGTCTTGTCCTCGTACGTCAGAAGCAGGACACTGTCGTCCAACTCCTGCGCCCCCCTGTGTCTTCGTAAAAACCCTTCGATTTGATTAGAAAGCGTGGTCGCGTTTTTTATCCCCGTTACAATACTGACGTATTTTCATTGGTCAGCCGGTTGGCGCGGTCGATGCTAACTAAGAAAACACAAAATAATGAAAAGCGCGCGCACACACGACGGTAGAAACATTTGTCTCGCTATCTTTACATTGGTCAGCCGGTTAGCGCGGTCAACTGTTAATTATAGCGCACACGGCCGAAACCGGTAAATTGTGTCGCCCAGTGGAGGAAGGAGACCAAAGGGTGCATCTTCGTACGTGAAGGGCACTCATTGGGAGGGACCTGTACTTTCGGAATAGGGACAGTTTTCGTTGAAAGAAGATTCTAAGACGAAGCGCGATCTTAGAAGAAAGTGTTTTTGTGTGCAATTCCTCAGCCACACGCAACCCGTGACGATCAAGTCCCAGATAGTTTGGAATATACAACTGGTGTTGCACGCTTCGTCTCCATTTGAAACGCATGGCGCAACAGACGTCCCCCGAGTAAGCGTGCATTCGTTGACTTCGCTGTGCCTTTGGTTTCGTCGTTGTTGCGTCCGCCCGCCCGTCCATCCGCCCGCCCGCCCGTCCGCCCGTTCCCCTCCGTTTGTTGTCTCAGCTGGAAAAAACAGAACGACGCATCGCCGACAAGATCACGGAGACGCGCTCGCGATGACGTCAGGCGCACTGATGCTGCTGCTGCTGCTGCTGCTGCTGCTGCTGCTGCATGCACCCCCACCTTCCCCTGCCCACCCACCCAGAGCGCCGAATGCAAGGCGTCGTCGTTTAGTGTACAAAGGACGTTGCAATCTTTCCTATATAGGAAGGTAGGCGTGTGTCGGTCTGCTGCGAGCACCGGTTGGAGCCGGTTTAACCGTGGGCATTAGATTTTGGTTTGCTGCGGCTTTTTCACTGCCACCGCTGCACGCACGTATGTGTGCCTGGTGTTCTCGAGACCCATAGTTTCGTTTTCCAGCTTGACTGAGAGCTTGGATTGCCCTGACTCGGTGTGTGTGCGTCTTTGTTTCTAGCATCGACCGCGCAAGCTCCCGGGCTGAAAGCACGTCGTCAGCCTTACAGTGGACTGATCAAAGAAACGTAATAAACACGGTTTCTGGTTTTCTTTTCAGAAGTGTCTGTTTGTGTGTGTCTTTATTGTTAGCATCGGCCGCGCTTACCGGCTGACCGATGAAAATCCGTTAAGTCTCGGTGCGGTTGAAAACACGAAACACTTCAAAATGCCATTAACTGGGACCCCGTGAGGGGGTGTCATGTGTGTGTGCGTGTGTTTGTGGGTGCACGGCGAGCAGATGAGTGGCAGTTCTGGTGCCTCTGACGTTGTTGATGTTGCTGATGTTGACGTTGCTTGGGAATGCGATCGTTGTTGAGGTGTTCAAGTTGAGCGACCCTCTCTCTTTATTGACGGAACGCGCGCTCAGTCAGGTTTAGGGCAACCGCTTAATAGTGGGCACGAAGCCCGAAGCTTTCTTTTGTGCTGTTAACGATGAAGGCGTTCTCTTGCGGTGGGGACACCGACGGACTTGGAGGCAGGATGAACGACCGATCCGATGTGTGTGTGGGCTAGCGTGCGTCAACTGCGCGATTTCTCAGTAGTCTACGCAGCAAAATTGATTAAGCAAACATATGGGATAAAGTATAAAATCCGTGTCTGCGTGCCCCCTCCCTATTTTATTTTTCTAGATACTCTTGAAATCCTGCGTAGTAGGCGGTCCGATCGATTGCAGCAGGAAAGAGCACCGGGCTTCATGTTGGCGCGGTGAGGAAGGAATATATATATATATGTTGTGCCTTATTTGTTGCTGCCTTCTCTGTCGCTCGGCTCATCTCAAGGGTGCTTTTTTTGTTTGTTTCGTGGTGGTAGTGGTGGTGTGGGTTGGCCCTACAAAAATTAAGAGCTCGCGCGGTAGTTTTCTGTCAATTTTCCTCTCTGTTGCAACAAGTATTTTTCTTGTACAATAATTTCAATTTCACAGCTTTATCCTTAGATGTCATTGCCCAGGACAATTGACCCGAAGGACAAGGATCGTGGTACCTGTAATGTTGGGCATGCCGAACGACGTCATCATGCTTCGCCATCGTCCAAGAGAATGCATCGCGAAATATCCATGGCTTGCCCCGCCCTTCTCTTCTACAACCAGCAATGGTCTCTTCATTTTTTCGTGCAAATACACAACGACTTCATCTCTTCCACAGATAATTCAGGAAGCGTCCGGGGTATGCATGTATGCATAGATTATTATTAGTGGTCTTCTTGGTGCAAGGTCATCATGAATTTTCTGCTTTCTCATTTATTTGCTTTTCGTTTATCTGCGTGCGGTATTATTCCCGTTGTCGACGCCAGTCATTCCCGCTTGCAGCGGTAAGAACACACACACACACACACAACACGTGGAATTTCGGGGTGGTGAGGTGGTGCATGTATGTATGATGTGGTGCGTGGTCCTTTTATGCGTATGTATCTGAAAGCGAGTTTGTTTTGTGATGACTCCTGTTGCTGCTGCTCGACAAACTCAGACGCAATGATCACTATCCATCCCCTCACCAATCCATCCGCCCATCCGGCGAGTGCAAGGTCTCTCGTCACTTTTTTCCTAATTGCGAACAAACTATAATATTAACTTGTTGCGGGGCCTCTCCGACTGCACACACGCACGCGCGGGTGTATCTATCAACCGCACCGCTGCTGCTGCTGCTGCTGCCGCTGCTGTCCTTGGTGTGCGTGGTGACCTGGCGGTCTTCATTAGTTTTTTTTTTTTCAGTCAGGTTCGTGCATTATTTTTTTCAGTATCGGAATGGCCTCTAAACGTATTTTCAGGCGCGCTCATGATATATATGGTCGCAAGTCGCACAAGACTAGTACAAATATTCTGTAAAAATGTGGTCTCCAGTGGTCTCCAAAAAAAATCAAGTTTTGGGGCTTACCTTTAAATGGTTTCACCCACCCACCGCTTGTTCAATCAATCGGTGGCGGGAATCGAAAGACACCAAAACACAAGACGAGAGACGAGAGCGAGAGGTAAAGGTTCCACAACAACAACACCGCCTCATCATTTAGCGAGTTTGCACACTCGCGGGTGACGTTGGTTTAATCGTATTTTCTGGTAAAGTTTTTCCCCATTTTGCCTTTTTATTTTTCTACGCTACACCAAGGAAAGGAAGGGTTCGCTGTCATCATGATGAGTGGAGGAAGGTACAAATGCATGTGGTGAAAGCGAAGGATCAAGCAAAAAAAAATATTCATCGCGCGAAAAAACTAGCGACAACATTATTAGAGGAGGAGGTGGTGTGGTTCGGCAAGAAGAGCACACCACAACAAACAAAACATTTAGCTTCAAGGGGGTCGTGCATGCAGCTCGTTGCGCCCCTGCCGCCGGCGATTCCTCTCCCTCCCCGCCACGGGAAGTCGGCGTTCATTGAAAATTGATATTGATTATTATTGCAACAACAATAAAAAACCAGGTTCCTCCGAGAAGTCACCCTTGTTTTTCTCATTTTCCATCACCACCAGTCACGACAGCACATCCCCACCGACAAAAAAAAAAAAACTGCGAACCATGTAGGCAACGGTCGTGGTCGACAACAAGGTTTTGCCCCCCCCCCCCTCCTTGGTGCTACGGCTAGCAACGCACACCAACGGGTGCGGGGGTGGAGGTGAAAGCGCTCCAACTGCTGCCCTTTGACTGCCCCATCTCATCGTACTTGGTCGTATAAGCACGGTTACGACACGAAAGTTAAATTAAAAAATAATCCCACCAGATACGATACCAATCCATCACAAATCACAACATCCATTACCATCCCGTCGGCAACGCGTGACACATACATCCATCATATCCTCCGTCTTTCATGTATTCAATTCGCGTCCATTCTCTCCAACCCCTGTCTGTCTGTCTGTCTGCCCTAATGGGACTCGGAACTAGCAATCTAAAAAATCGAAGAGCGGTTTTCTCTACTATCCGTCCCAAGAACGAGGAGATAGGGGTGGGGGTGGGGGTGGAGGGGGTGGAGGAAGCACAACACATGAGACCCCCTTTTCCCGTAACAGCGACACGCCACAACTAACTATCCTAGCCCGTTTTCGTTCTTTTTTCCTCCTCACCCTCTCGTGTGGTCTACACACGCACACGTCGCAGTAACGCAAACGAGTGCGAGCGTACGCACGCATGCGCAACCGCCATGACCGCACGCTGGTGCTACATCCCATGTAAAGGTCTAACGAGCGAACAATCATACGACAATTCAGACCTCCAAGACCAAACCAATCAGAAAAGACATTCAACTACTTTTTTTTGGTATCGAAAAACACGCAAGCAAGTCACAGACAGTCCTATGTATATGTATACCGTGGGAGGTGTTTCGGCCTCCCGGGGATTCCAAGCCCAGGGGAAACACCGTGCTTGGTGCAACAACGAACAAACTATCTAGATCCCGCCTAAACGCCCAAAAAGAAGCGCTCAATGGACGGGAAGACCACCAGACACACCTTCGCGGTGGCTGCACCACGGCGTTAACAGTCTCGCGAGGGTCCGTTGTTGTACCCCCGTTTTGCATCCCTACCCCCCTCTTAGATCAAGCTGGCTCAAACTTGTCGGCAAACAACGCAACACACGTGAGAAAAAACTCGTCTACCCTTCGCTTCCTTCGATCCCTCCCCTTTTATCGAACCGCCGCCGGATGCTTGGTTTCCCCACTGTCTGCTCGTCCCATTGATTTGGTGTGTGTCTACAAAAAAAAAAGCCAGACGATACATAACCGACAGGGGACAAATTTTCCCCCCTCCCCCCCCTCACACACACCCAAAGCACCCCTTCCAGTAACAAGTTCTGAACAAACAAAAACAAGTACCCCTGACAACACGCTTGACAGCAGTCCAGTCCAACTCTTTTCCATCCACGCTCCACAGGCATATTAACAAATGTATGTATACCATGAGTCCTAACCTATGACCCTACATTCCAATTTATCGTCGCCCCTCCAAACCCAATCCCGTCTGCCGACTAGCCTGCCGCAAACTGGCGTCCAAACTTTACAGTGCGCTGAATTGAAACATGTTCCTGCTGCTGCTGTGCTCTTAACAGACAGCCCCCAAGACAAACAAAAGCTAGCCAACAGACGCTTTCATCCAAAGACGGCATGTCATCGGCCTGCCCAAACGGCAGCCGGTGGACACCGGCCGAAAACAGCAGCCATGACCGGCCAGAGGGCTGTCGCGAGACACGGCAACAACACTGGACAGCCAAGGCTTGGGACCTCATGAACACAACCTGCCGCACCCCTAACAGTCTTTCATTTCAATTTCAAGACACCCAAGCACAATTAACACACGCGGGGCACACGGGAACTGCACTGCGTGTAGGCGAAAGAGAGACGAGCCATCGATGCCGTGTCTGGTCTCCTTCTTTACGCACACAAACCAGTCCAAGCCTCGTCTTCTCTATTCTCTCGACCAAAACAAGAGAAGCACAACTAAAAAAATAAAAAAAACGCCCGCAACAAGACAACGCGCAACAACAAACCCCATGCAATACGCCTCCTCCGCGTCCTTAAGTCTCTCCTTTTCGGCCGCACAATCAGCGTACACGCTCATGTGCGTGAGATGGAAGGGAAAAGGGGGGGGTCTAGGGAAGCGGAGTGAGACCGGACAAAAGAAAAAAGAGGCGCCCGGCGAAAAAGCAACACCAAAACTTCAATCATGAACACCGTTGGGACGGATTCAACGCAAGACAAGAACAGCTGCGCGCACGCGCGCAAGAGACATGCTACAGACAATCTCCGACGCAGTATATTATATATATGTGCAGCATCAAACAGGAAATATCATACTTAAGTGAAGCCACACCTGGTCCAACTCCTTCCCACCCTGTCGCCTTTCTCGACACCTTCCCCCCTCCAACCCCGATTCCATCACACGAACACGCCCCCCCACTCTCTCCCATGCCCACAACAGCCAGTGCCGTAGCTGTAAAGATACCTAAGTGCGGCTGCTGACTGCTGCAGCAACGCACGCCGAAAAACAACTAAAGCACAAAAGACTAGATCCCTCCCTCCCTTCCCCCCCCCTCCCCCCGTCAACCGCAGCCAGCTACCGTGGCTGCAAACAGAAATATGTATATAATGATTTTTCCAGTCTCTGTGCACCATCCCCCCGGGACACATGCACGCCCACACAACAAACCACTCGCACCCTATCCCCTCACACCCTCCAACTATGAACTTTCATTCCTCTCTCGCTCGCCATCCTAACAAGACACGACGGCGGGGGTCCCACTGAACGAAGTCTCTCCCCCCCCCCTGCCCGATGCGTCACCCCCGCCACCGCCACCCCACCCCCCGATCTGTAGCAGGCTCAGCATGGAGGGCTTCCTGACAGGCTCGGCCGACTCGCAGCTCGCGGTAGACGTGGCACGCTTCATCCCGCCGGGCATCGGAGGGAGACCGCCTCCATCGGCGTCGAGATCGTCGTCCTCGGCGTCCGCCGGAGGCGCGTGAATGCGCTCGACCGCGGCCGCGAGGGAGGCACGGATGTCGGCCCGCGCGCGGCGGGTCACCTGGCGGAGGAAGGACTGGCCGGCGACCCGGCCCTTGCGGTCGGTGGCCTCCGGGTCGGCATTGAGCTCGAGGAGGACGGACACGGCGCCGCGGTTGCCGCAGGAGGCCGCCACGTGGAGAGGAGTTTGTTGGAGCTGTCGACAAAAAAAAATAAAAAAAAGAAACGAAGCACAGGTGTGGGTGAGGGTGTAAGCGTCGGCGCGACGCAGAGCAAGATGGAGCGGACTGCTGTTGCGTTCAACCTGTTGTTGTGGTCGTGGAGTATTGAATCATCAGAGGAACGAGAAACACAGAGCTGGTGGGGGGGGGGGGGGGCGGAGGGATGGAGCATGTGTCGGCGCGACACAACACACAAAACACAAACATCTCCCAACCCGTTTCTACCGAGGGAGCTATTATAACATTATAACTATATTCTACTGCTGTTACCGGAAGTCTATCGGGCTGGTGGCAACACGCAGTCTCTTATCGATGGTAGACGTGGGCTCATTCCAAAGCCACGGCGGAAACAACGGCCTCCGGTCTATCGACAATCTTTCCCAGTTCGTCCACCGCCCAAGGGTCGAAGGAGAGTGTCAAGAGTAAAGAGGCACTCTGTTCAGAAATATAATGTCATAACCCTTCGGAACGCTAAATGTGCTTGTCTGAATGGTCCTCATATTTCCGAAAAGTGGTACGTGTACGTATGCATACCACGATCGACGGCGCACGACGTTCCGAAGCCTCACCATATATTTTTCGGAAATAAGATAAGCCAAGAATGTAGCGGGGTCAATACCCGAGAGGCTTTTCCGTGCAATCTCGACTACAAGTAGAAAGTATTTTTCCACCAGTGCCCCTCTCGCTATTACTGTACAAGAATAATATGTAGCCGATCAACCCTTCCGCAAATATTGGCTGGTGCAAAGTTTCGCTGAGGACGCGGTTCCACCTATGAGATAGATTCGAATTTAAATGGCTGATCGGCACATGCTTTTCCGCGCCCATGTACACAGTAGGCTCACAAGGGGTCATTTCTGAAGCACAGCCCATCATCTTAAAGCTCGTTCGCTGTGAGGGTTGCCCTTCCATTTCTCTCTCCAGTGCGTGGAAAATGTCCAGCATCATCCAACAAAGTCATCTACAACAATGATGTGGCTGACCAATATTTGTGACGGAAACAATAAGGTTTTCAAGAGTTTTTTCCTTCCAGGCGGCCGTTCGTTCGGTCCGTCTCGCGTTCCATCTCTAGCCCCTGGGCGTGTCGTAATAAGGTATTAAAGAGTTTTTTTCCTTCCAGGCGGCCGTTCGTTGGTTCCATCTCGTGTTCCATCTCTACCCCCTGGCGTGTCATAATTACTGATGACACTGCGATATGGTTGGTCAACATTTATTCCGAACACCGACCACGACCGTGTACTCGAGAACAAGCTGCGCAGAACTAGACTGCCCATTTACTTCCATAAGTTGTTGCTTGCTGTTTCCAACGCAACCATACTGGCACAAGAGGCGCCTCAGAACACGTAGACGTGGGTGTGCGCAAAGTCGAAGTTCTATGAATTGTTCGCTAAAAGCCCGAGTCGCGGCAACTAAAACGAAAACAAGTGTCTTCGTCGATTTGAGCCCGACACGCGGTGACACAAAAAATAGTCCGAATAACAAAACTGCATGCCCTACGACTAAAAGGGTGCAACACACAAAACGCCCGACCAGTACCTAACACACATCCTCTGCACCTTCCCAACATAGCATATATGAGACACACAAGACAGCTACCAAACTGTCTTGTTGAGCCTGTTACCCGCAGGGGAGATGTCCCTATATGCTGTCTGGGAAATCGTGGACATACAGGTACTCTCTGACGCTATGAATCCATTGCTAATCCGTCTCAGACTCTTTTCTATGATAGAGATGGTTTCGTTGTGTCGTATTAAGAAAAATAAAAAAACTGTAAATGGGGGGGTACATTGTGCTCTAGTCCGCAAAAAACATCGGCCCCCGCTCATCCCTTTGTGTAGCGTACCAGTCTGGTGGATGGTTCCGATTCTCACTGCAGTTGCCAATGCTAGTATCAAAACGGAAGGCGCTCTGCACTAAACAAAGGAGGGCGAATTGGTTCCTAATGGGAGGGACTGCAGCGCATATGGTATAAAGAACCCGTGCTCATCATCAATCTGTGCAAATATCCACGTATGAACCAACCAGGAATTGAGAAATTGTTACCAGCGCAACCATACTCGAAAACAGGCCTCGGAACACACGCAGACCTTCGTGTGCGCACGTTGAAGTGCTACGCATCTCTTCGGTAAACAGCCCGACGCGCGAAGCAACATATACCGTATATGACACAAGATAACACACCCCCTGGACCGATTTTCAAAGCTCGATTACTCCACGACGAAGAGGATGCATAAACGAAACGATACGTTTTCGGAGAGTTCTCGACCAGACGGCTTCAACGCCGCCATTTTCAGCGCTGTGACTCTTTCTGCTGTTGAGCTTTGAAAATCGGTCCAGCGGGTGTGTTATCTTGTGTCATATACGGTATTCAGAGAAGGTTACCGCTGGGATGTGGTTGCGCGCGGCGACCACACGCGGTGAAAGAAAACACCCGCAAGCAAACATGTTTGTCTGGATGTGGTGGAACGTGTAGAGGCATCAGGTGTAGTCCGAAAAACACCGAGGCCCGCTCGGCTTTTTGTAGGGTCTGGGCTTTCCTCTGGCAACTGCCAGATGCTTGGGTCAAGAATTTTCGATTCCGAAAGAGGGTGTTCTGGTGTGAACGGAACTGCTGCGAATGAAATTTGTCCTCCAAGGCACTGGTGGTGCTGTTGAGTGTACATACACGATGTCGCGGGCAATACTATCCGGGGGGGGGGGGGGGGGCGTCGAGATAAAGAAGTAATAACTGTATGGCTGCAAGCATCACACACAACGACGACCTTAACCTTAACTTGGAGTTGGATGCGTAAAAGAGAAATATTGTAGCAAGCAAGTGAGCAAACAAGGGGGTGGTGGGTTGGAAGCGATGGCTGCGACATAGCCCTTCGGAGGGTGCGCGACAAACATCGAGATACATTTGCATACAGGTTAACTCGCCTTGATACAAGCAGGGCCTGTCATACTATGTAGCCGCGAGAGAACCGAACCTCTCGCCAAACAAACACGTTCGTCGACAGGCCTTGAGTCTGGTCCTTGTCACACCACACCTAGAAAAACAATACCATCATTCACCCGACAAAGCCTGTTGGGAAACAAAAACTGGGGGGGGGGCGTGTCGTGTACAGCGGTGAAGACGCGCGTCGCAAATCACTAACCTCGTCTCGCGCCAGCAGCGCCGAGGGACCCAGGAGCTCAGCCATTTGCCGGAACGTATCCTTCTCGCACGCTTGGGTGGACGCCAGGTGCAGCGGCGAGATGAGGTGGTTGTCGCGGAAGCAGGGGTAGGCGCCAGCCCTCAAGAGGGCCTCGACGGCAGACACGTGACCGCCGAGAACAGCGTAGTGAAGCGGGCTCCACCCGACCTGTGGTAGTGGTGGGCGTCATTGAGTTTGCATTGGCATACGGTGTGGTATGTGTGTGATGGTGTTCGGACTTTTCGAAAATGTTCAGCACTCGCTGTCATAAAGAGGGAGCAGCAGCAGCAGCAGCAGCAGCGGCGGCAGCAGCACCGAGCAAGTAAATTGTATGGGGGTGCACACCACTCCCGGAAATAGCATGACTATTAGAGGGCATACATACATGACTATGACTGGAATGGAATGGAACCTCGATTTACTTGCCTCGCGGAAATGCACTATAATACGAGAGACGACACCCATGATTCGCGAATATATATCCGCGTGGGATAGTAGCGGTGTTGTATGGAGTCGTAGCTGCAAAATGTTGAGCGTCAACAGATGACGCCACTTCGCGCACGCATGGGTCGCCACACAAAACTTGCAACGCGCAACAAAAATATGGGTCGTTAGAGAACACACGTTGCAAGAACACGTTGGTGCGAAAAAAGAGAGCAGTGATGCAGCAGGAGCGTGTTTTCAGAAAATGAAGGGAAAAAAAGAAAACGAACAGCGGCAGCAATGACCCGCGCCAGCGAAAGAGGAGCACGCCGAGGGTAAAAAACAGAACAGATCCGTCCGTGCCCAGCGCGGTCGTAGCTGGACAGCAGTTGCTTTCCCTCTTTGTTCGAGCTCGTACGTTCTTTGGCGCGTTTGTGTTGCTTGCTTACAACAATAGTGGGTATTTAACATAACGAGACAACAACAAAAAAAAACGGAACACGAGAATTTTTTGGCCTACATGTACACAACAATCGCCAGCGTCCTGCTCCCGCGTGCGTCTTTGCGTTCATGTCTAATCCCATCACACGGATCCTTTTCTCTCTCTTCACCCGGTTTTTGAAAAACACACACACACGCGCATGGAGAGAAGGCATGCGCGCGAGAGAGAACAACTCACGTTGTTCGCGACGTTAGCCCGCGCTCCCGATTGCATGAGCTCTCTCAGGCAGCCGATGTCTCCCTTGGCAGCTGCGAAGTGGAGGGAGCTGTGGCACAGGTCGTCCCTCTCGTTGGGATCCGCTCCCGACCTGAGCGCAGCCCTCGCCGCGTCCAGATCGCTCTCTACAACGGCCTTCTGCAGCACGACTCGGAAGGGCGAGTCGGCCGGGACGCCCAGGGCGGCCATGCCCTGCTCCCCCTTGCCCTCCTTTGACCCGGCCGCGGCGGCGGCGGCGGCCCCTTCCGGTTGGCTGCTACTCCTATTGTTGTCATCCAGGCACCGCGACGACTGCTGCTGCTGCTGGGCTCCCAGCTTTCTCCGGAGCGTTGTCTGGTCCTCGACGGACAGCCGCTGGAGAGCCGAGAGCGTCCTCGTGAGCTCGCCCTCGGAGTCCTCCTCCCCCTCGCATGCGGACCCGCTCGGGGTGATCTCGCCCGTGAGCTCAGTCGCGATCGGTTCCCCGGCGGCCTTGGTCGCCGCCGGGGCCGGGTCCTCGATGGCCAGCATCCCGTAACCAGAGATCATCCTCTGTCTCGCCTCCGACAAGCTAACCGACATTTTGCGCCCACTCTCAGTCGCTGTGATTTCGAGGAGTCGCAGCGTCTGTCTCTGTCGCTTATCCCCTCTCGAAAACACCGAGCGCTTCTGAGAAGTTGTGCGTGTATGTTTGTGTGCGCGCCTCTCTCCCGTCGATTTTTTTTTTTCTCGTTTCCCGCACGCACCAGCCCTGCTGCGTGGTGTTTTGCTCGCTTGGGAGGTTGCGATGTATGCTGGACCTAGGGAGAGGATGAACTTCGAGGTGGTGTTTTGGGGCAGTTGCACAGGGGGTGAAGCTCCTTTGGTGGTCGCCTGCTACCTTGGCGATTTCGAGCCAATAAAAAAAAAAAAGAGTGTAAGCGGCGGGACCATACGAAGAGGTCAACGGACAAATATTGCGGTTTCAAGCAATAAAGAACTAAAGCTTCGAGCGGGGGGTGGTCTGAAGAGGTACGGATGGATGGCGACGAATCTCTCATTTGAAATCTCCGCGCAAAAAGTACGTATGTATAAGCACGTGGTGTGGGCGTGTCTCTCTCATCTCTCTCATGGCTTGCGGATGAGCGCGCCTGAAAAGAGCGGCTACGCTTTTCTTCCTCTCATCTCCCATCTTCTCACACGGGCCGAATATGATGCTGTCCCCTCAATCGTGTCTGCGGTTTGCTCCGCGGCACGATCCAACGCTTGCGTTTTTTTTCGTTTGCAAACGAACGTTGGATATCCGAATGGACAGCAAACGGCTGCCACGATTCGAAAGTCCGACGTGGCCGATTACTCTATGCATACATCTACCATCTTGTTTCTCTTGGGCGAATGCAAAACAAAAAGAGCGTCACCTCTCCACCTCTCTCGGTGTATTTACAAAGTAGGGAATATTCGTGACATCAGTACGCGTTTCTGTTCAGGCTGGCGTCACTCAACCCTAGATGGCTTTTCCCTTGCTGTGCCATCATATGTCATCATCTATCTTCTGCGCGGGCGGGTACATATCTTGCTTCGGTCTTCTTACATATTATCAATTCATATCTGCCTGGCCCGCTGGTATGCACATACATCGATCCTTTGAACCGCAAGGAAGGAGAGGCCTCTAAGATTGATGAGCGCGCGGTAAAGGTTGATGATGCTGGGCGTGCGTTGAGGATCCGCCCGGCCAATGCTATCGAGGGACTAGGTTTCGGCTTCATGTCATGCACGCATGTGCTGACGGTATGACTCAAAATCAGGATTAGGAGGTGCTGTGTGAAAGTTGATTGCCTGGCGCTAGGGAGGATTAGTCAGAAAGAGTCAGTTGTTCATCCAGCCCGATCTTCCGATCTTCCAAATTACCTAGTTTCCGGGTGGTGGCCACTAAAAGATGATTTTTGAATTTTGCGTACACACGTGACCGAAGCACTTCGTATGTATGATGTGCCCACATGATGTGTGTGTAGTGTACGTATGTAGTAGCACCTTGGGTACAAGCAGGCCCGTGTTGGGGTGCGGTCATGATGCGTATGCTACTAAAATGCACGTGTGTACTACACGCATTGGTGGCAGAGAAGGGACTGCTGTGTTGTTGTGTTGTAAACTCCAAAGCAGTCTCGAATTATAGGTATGCAAACGTATTTTGAGTACCACCCAACTTGTAGCAACCAAGATACAGTACAGCACACTCCCGATTATTGCTGTACTCTCCTGAGTATCTTCCAACGACTGCCTGACGCTTGTTGTTGTATTTTCTTGTCGATGGGGACCCAAGTTGCACGTGAAGACTAGACTCTTGCTTCGAAGTGCCATTCCCTTCAATCAATTTTCATTTCACTCTACTAGGCTCACACGTCATGCGAAGCACATTATGACCACGTCATCACCGGACACAGGGGCGCAGATGATGCATATACGTATGTTGATTTTTCTGCGGTCCAAAACTGAGGCGGACCTCCTCGCGGACCCCGCTTATTCGTGGCTGTCTCACACCGAACACTTGTGTTCCACAGGGAGTGAGCCTAGTTGTAGTTCAGAGTAGCATTCCATCACAGGTTTCATAGGTAGGTTTCGTTCCCCCAGGCCTTCCCGGTGCTCCTCCTCCTGTTCTTACTGCCAGGCGCCGGACACACGGGTGGACGTTCTGAATTTTTGTGGGCGGGGCGCCCTTATTGACAGCCATTTTCAACGACCTTCCTGACAAATTAATGAGACTCCCCGCCCCCCCCCGGCATCAAACGCATACGTATGTATGTATGTGAGCTTCCACGATCGTTGTATGCGGCGTAGGTGCAAGGACTATTGGCGGCACTTAGACTACTGCTGCTGTAGTCAATATTGCACATAACGCTAAAATAGTCCTACAGTAGTCACGGAGCACTCAGCGTTTGACCCACAAGGTCACCGTGTAGCTACCGCTCCGAGCCTAAAAACACCGCATCCGGGTCTCCACTGCCGTTCCGTGTTACCGACGGCGGCTTTATGCTGCGCGAGCGCTCTCTGGTCACCTCGCTCGAGATGCACACGGTAGGTATTGGTGGCGGGTACGCTGCCGACTGCCGATATTCAGAAACCCATCTCCAACCCAACCCATGTACAGCCCAACCATCGAGTGGTGAGTGTCGTTTTACTCCACGATGCAGTAACGAATAGTCGAAAGCACCGGGTGTAGAGACACTTGGATGCAATGAATGAGACCGCCCGGGATCTTCATCATCATGCCGTCTTTCTCGCCGTCCGCATCCGTCCATGTGTGTGCTGTCGTCTTCCGTCCACAAGGCCCAGCTCATCGCGCCCTTCTTTCTGGCCGTTGGGCGCCTGTATGCGAAGTGGCACCGCGAAACACACAAGGAAAAGGTCACCGCCGTTACAACTAGGCAGATGTTGTCAAACATTCGGGTGAACTACATAACTTGTTAACATCATCGTCGTCAACAAAAACAACTCATTCTTGATTTGATATCGCGAGGTGGGGCCAATTCTGCGATCTGTGCCGCGCTGAAGAAAACAGAGTCCGTCATCTTATCGCAGCGTTTATACACAAAGGCCTGAGGGTGCATGATTCCAACACTGTACCAGCACCAACCACGGCAGGCAGGTACAGTATGTATGAGGAACGCACTCACAGGGACGCATCTGTACAGGAGGAAATCGTATCGGGCTCTCATGGTGCTTTTCAAAGCGCACGCCATGGCATCTAAGAAGTGTCATCAAGCCGACTGAGTCCTAGAGAAGGTTCCGGTAGTGTTGAAGTCCTTCCATCTTGTGCTTGCAAGCGCTGTCCCAACGTTAGAACTCAAAACGCAACGACCGCACAACGAGCGGCCATCACTGCCCAGAAAAGCTGGAATCGGGAACAGGACAGTTTAATCCGGACTTCGTGCGACAAGGGGTTGGTAAAGACGTTGTCACTCGCGAGAGCCCCTCATCCACGAATTGTCTACAGCGGGCTAGATATCTCCCCTCCGATTTTCAGTTTTCACGTACGAACGAAGGTTCAACATATTCGGGGCGAGGAATCGGTGTTGCTCCACGCATTTTGGAAAATTGCACATGAGAGGAATTTCGAGCCCCGGCATCCTCCCGTGATGATGCGCTCAAGGGAGTCATGCAAAGCAGCACAGCACATCGAACAACGCGAACATCATGCAAAACACGTCCGCATCGTTTCAAGGCCTCACGACGCTGAATCTCTGCGTTGTGGGTGTACATAGTCGCCATTAACGCACTCTTGAGGGTTGGGTCCTTCCGTCTAATATACTTCGTGCCACTAAATAGCGCATGCTTGACATTCCTCAAGGTCGGATATCGTTTTCGATTTTTCGTGCATCGTTCTTTCGGACCCCTCAAAATCGAAGCCATTTGCTAGGTCGGAAGGTTCGCACGGCCTGAAACATAAACAAGAACACATTCGGCCCAATGCGCTGTCGAGCCAGTCGTGTCAATAGTAACGCATGTCACAAGTGTGTCCCCCCCCCCCTCCCCCCTCCGGTGTTTGCCATTGGGGTTGGGTTTTCGTCGCTTGGCAACGACGTTGTAAAACAAGCCGCCCCCCCCGGTGTTTGCCATCGGGGTTGGGTTTTCGTCACTTGGCAACGACGTTGTAAAACCAGCGCCCCCCTCGGTGTTAGCCATCGGGATTGGGTTTTCGTCGCTTGGCAACGACGTTGTAAAACAAGCCAATTCACTTCGTGAACTCGGCAACCAGGTTACCGTTTTTTTTTTTACCTCTGTTTTATTTTTTTGCGGTAACCATAATGGTGGTCGAGTAGATCATGTTTTGCGGGGTCGAGAACCCTCACTCCGCGCAAGGGGGATGGTCGCACCACGTTGTGTTAAAATGGTCAAGCATCCTCGAGGCAGTTACACAGTGCTTACAACTGTCTCTGGAAGCGAAAGCACCAGAAAATAAATGAAGTCATACGCAGCTGTCATCCGTACGCAAGGAAGTAAGCACAAGATGCCGAACACCCTTAGCAGGATGCAGCTCACCCTTCATGCGACTCGCCAAATACCTCACGGCGCTTCGCGCTTGGTCATGTGAGAGCCTGGTCCGGTGAGAACCCGGCGTGCTCCGTCCCGGCTTTGTAGGGATGCGAGGTCAATGGTCTAACGACTACGGCATGCACGACTATGAGTACACCCCCCCCCCCCCCCCCCTTGGACGGGTCCCCACAACAACAGTTCGTACCGACAAGGATATATTGATATATGATATATTCGCCTCGTCCCCAAGTCCAGTGTACGCAAGTGCTGTGTTGTACTCCCCTGCTCACCTTTATCCTTGCGCGAACTTTACGCTGATCGGGTCGGAGCAGTAAGGGCACTGCCCGAAGATGGTGTCGAACGACACTCGGCTCGTGGGCAGCCCCTGCAGCCAGACGAAGAGGCACTTAGGGTGGTACGGCCGCCTACACTTGGCGTTGTCGCACACTCGGTCCGGGATGGCACCGGCATCTTCTGCGGCCGCCCCCCGCCCGCCGCTTTCGTCGCCGCCACCGCGCCCTCTTGTGCCTCCTCCTCCGCCTCCTCCTCCTGCCGCCCCCACCGCAGCAGCAGCAGCAGCAGCAGCAGCAGCAGCAGCAGCCCCTGCCGTTGATATACCATACAGCCAGGTCCGTTGAAAAAACGGAACAGAGAGAGAGAGGGAGGGAGAGAGAGAGAGACAGAGACAGAGACAGAGACAGAGACAGAGACAGAGAATGAGCAATCCGCGCGAGAGTCAATTCCGACGTGCGGACAGCGGACACTTGCCCGCAAAAACGATTTTTTTTAACACGTACTGGTAGAAGAGCTGAGCAGTCAGCACTCCGAGAGGACCGGAAAATGCAAGAGTATGCTCGGAGTTATTCCTGGATAACCTTCACTTGCTGTGCCCTCCATCTCAAGGAAAGGCACACAGATGTTGAAATGACACATATTGCACCCGGAGCACGGGCTACGAAGATGTTCTTCGACAATCCATCAATACGTAGGCATGAAGAAGGGGTGGGTTGAAGGCTGGTAAGGGCGGGCAGGAGATTTATCGTGGTGTTTGAGCGGGATTATTTGGGGGGAGAAAACAGATCTCGATTTGCGCGCGTGAAGAAACAAAGTTGTCTTGTTGTTCAGATCCGAACCGATACCTCCTGACATGTACGGCCGGCGTGAGGAAAACCAAGCGGTACTCTGGGGGGATCAAAATACCTCAAGCCTGAGACACGGCGAGAGATAAAGCTAGAGTCGGGCAGTCACTTCTGGAAGGAAGCACAGACTTTTGCCGAAAGGGACGACGGTCTGCCAGGGTAGGTACTGTTCCTAGTCTGTTGGCGATTCTGCAACACAGGCACGCTACCCTTGTCTTACTATCCATCCAAACTGATCGCTCCGGTGGTCTAGCGCCCCGTTTGTCTAGAGGGTAGCGTCGTTATCCTGCTAGAAGCAGGTTGGAAGCTGTGGGTTCGAGTCTCTGTCGCTCTTTCGGGCGTGAACGAATTGCAATTACTGATGTCGTGGAAAGCGATATGTTCGCGAGTATGAGTAACACAAAAAGAAGGAAGGGACTGACGGACCCGTAGCTTTAAAAAACCTGCGCACGGAGGCGGATACATATGCTGAAATGTGATTACTGTACTGGTGCCCAAGTAGACAGGGATGAAACATTCGCAACTGGATCATTTCTAATTTTCCATTTTGACCACCCTGCGCCCAGGTATACGTTTCTCGGGGGGGGGGAGGCGGGTGAACAAAAAATTAAAAACCACCTCAAAACGCCCTGTCTCCAGGTGAAGATATTTCCGGAAAATTGTTTTCAGAAGTAAAAAAAGAGAGGATACATAATCTCACAGAAAGATTACCCGTTAATATTGGTTCCCCTTGTCACTACATGGCCCGGATATGTTGTTTCCTTCTTTCCGGGGGGTCTACGTTCCCAGAGAACAATTCCGAGACCAGGTTCGAATTGCCGTAAAAAATCTCGAGGACAACATTCAATATTCTTTTCCGATAAAAATATACAACAGAAAATAACGGGTATCACGAACTACCCCGGATGTGTAGTTCCCTTTTTCCGGGGGGTCTACATTCCCAGAGAACAATTCCGAGAACGTATTCGAATAGCTGTCGAAAATCTCGAGGACAACATCGAATATTCTTTTCCGAAAATAGGAGTAGAATTGTAAAAGAGAGTAACAGGCCGGGGGTGGAGGCCAGGCTACAGTACGTCGCAAGGTCGCCATGTTTAGGGGCGGTCTTAACGCAGGAATCAGATCTCGAAATCACATTCAGATTTGGTTGGAAGACCGGAAGATCCAAAGAACTCTGTTCTTGATTGGGATAAAAGTACTTCCGCCGGTCTCCTCTTTAGGACTTACAACACGACGACCCAAAACCAAATCGGGATTTGAAAAAAGGTGAAATCATTTAATCAGATCCCGATTTGGGTGAACCGAAACCAAGTTCGAACATTAGCGGTCTACTCGCATGCACGGCGCGTGCCCACCTAGCCCCATCCACACGAACTCCATCCACCGCCGAGCACAAAGGAGAGAGGGGCATAAAAAGCCAACCCAAAGGGAGGGTGACTGGCATCGTTGTTGCACGTGACTGGCGCCGAAAAAAAACGTGTGGGAAGTGTGTTGGTCTGTGGGGCAATCTCCCCTGGGTTTTCGAACCTCAAATGCGTAGACGAGTTGGTGGCTTTCCGTCGGACGAGGCTCGATTCAAAGTCTCACATGCATAGACATCGTGTCAGTACCGCACAGAGGCCATGTACGCGTTGGTGTGTGCTTCTCGGGAGCGATAGCTCCCCATGTGGTGTGGCCACGTCAGAACAGTACGTCACAACAGCAATCTGGTAGTTGACAAGCGGCGGACCTCTCGTGTTGTTCGCGGTGGACTGCAGAGACTCGTTTCCGCTTGGCAGATCTGCCGTTAAGACACACAGGCCATTTCATTTCCGTCCGCATTTGGGTAGATCCGACTCTTGTATTCTTATATCGAAATGTGATTTCGAGGTCTAATTTCTTCGTTAAGACCTAGCGTGTAGTTCAGTTGTGAGCACGCAAACGTGCTGCAGGGATTGTAGGTGTACCTCCTCGGGCTTGTGTACCCTTTTCTTGCTAATAGTGTGCGTGTTCTTTAGATCTTCTGATGGCTTTAGCATTTTTGTGACCACGGGCCGAGTCTTTGCTAGATTTTGGGATTAGCAACTGACACGAGTTTAATGTGAAGAAAAACAAAACAACAAACCCTTACTCTTCAGATACTAAAGGCCAGGCGGCATAACCCTGGTTACGAGCACGATGACTGAAAGTGGTGCCAACTTTGGTCGTGCCGGGCCTACACGATGAACGATCATCAGAAAAGAAAAAAAAGAAAAAAAAACTGCACGTGTTAATTTTATTCGTTTGTTAATCACTTTTAACTCAGCGCTCACGGCATTCTGCTGGTTGCTGCTGCAGGGGCTCCAACCCGTGGTCATACAGAAGGGTTCCTCCCCCTGAGCCCCCCTCCCCACACCTCCTGCGGTGCTCACCTTGCATGTGAAGCAAGAAAAACGAACTGCTTCGTTGGAAAGTGGAGCCATGCGTCTGGGTCCCATCTGCATCCTGCCACATGTACTACTGAAACTGCTAACAACGTGCCTCCACGTATTGGACTGGAAAGCGCGGAGTGACACCGCATTGGAGGGCCGCACGAAGATGACCGCGAAAACTTATGAGCAGAGATGGGCAGACAAAAAGGAAAAAACAGTTGTTGGACGTATTTTTCCAAGTGCGACGTACACCAGGTACGAAACTGCCAAAGGCGGTTCTAGGCAGATGTACCGGCAGTCCTGTCAAACTGGTTACAGTGGTGGTCCCGATATACCGTACCGCGGTGGGCAAAAATTACCGCGGTACCGTATCGGGACACCACACCATGTAGTGTTGCGGAATATATAGCTTTTGGTATGGTAGCCAATCCCGTGACAAGGGAATGTACCGCGGTGTATCGAGACCCGACCTACTCGGGGACCGCGGTACGGTATACGGTATACGGAACCACTGCTGTATCTGGAGCGATTTGCCCGTCCTTCACCTATTGGACTCCACTGCCGCGGGAGAGTCACTTCGTCGAATAACCTGCTTCTTTCGTCTGTATATGTTGTGTTGTCGTGAATACCGGGCACCGTCCGCTCTCTATGTACGCATGCCGACTGCGTGATTGTTTGAGGTACTGCGGCTTCAGCAGTAGGCACGCAAAGCGTTGCTCTTGCTGCATCGCCCTGGATGCATCCTATTATGTCCGCCGTAGGTACATGCCACAGCAGGGCAAACCAAACATTTTCTTATCTTGCAAGGCAATAAAGGTGTAATAGTACCGCCCAGCTGTGTCGTTCGTAGTTAGTCTATTGTATGCTACAGGTGTTTTTCTCGTGAAAATGGTGGACGATTTTGCCCAATTCAAGGAGAATGTACAACCCGTCAGGGGCAGTGCGGGAAAATTCTAAACCAAAATGTTCCAATTTGACAAAAGAGAAACTCCGCGGCTATCGGCGTAGCTCTACGCCGTCATGACGACTATCGTTGTTCCATTTTCAACCCGTTCTTTCGACAGGACAAGCATCACGAAAACGTACTTTTAGGAACAAAGTTGCAGGAGGCGAAGAAAACAACCCCTGACTAATCACGCCAGAGCATACGCTACATGTGACATGCTGCTATTACGGCCAATATTGCCACCGTCACACGCTATGTACATATCACGCGTGCCGGAGGTATGTGCTCGGTGTTCTTACCCTCATCGCCAGCCCCGTCCCACTATATTGCCACCTGCTTCACACGCTACGTATCATGCGTCAGAGGCTGTGTAGTCGCGCTTCTTACCCCCATCGCCAGCCGCGTCGTCCCGCTGGAGGCGGTAGGCGTAGCAGATGCCGCAGTCCGCGCTGTAGTCCGCCTTGGCGGTGGTGGCCGGGGAAGGCAGCTTCAGCTCCAGCGCAGCCTCGAGGTTGGCCCGAACGAGCAGGGAGTGATTCCTGAATATATTAGGGTTAGGGTTAGGGTTAGGGTTAGGGTTGGGGTTAGGGTTGGGGTTAGGGTTAGGGTTAGGGTTAGGGTTAGGATTGGGGTTAGGGTTGGGGTTAGGGTTAGGGTTTGTGCTGTAGCGGTGGTGGTGGTGTTTGTCGTCGTTGTTGGGGAGTTTATTGTCCACGCAGCATGTGTTGGGCGGCGTGTGTATGTTGGGTTGTGTACATCCTCCTTGCATACGTGGATGGAGTCCACGCAGCATGCGTTGAGGTGAGTCTTGGGGTTGTCAAGTTTTCTTCGCATACGTTGATCGAGCCCACGCATGTGTTGGGTTGTGCAGTTCTCTTTCCATACATTGATTGAGTCCACGCATGTGTTGGGTTGTGCAATTCTCTTTCCATACGTTGATGGAGTCCACGCATGTGTTGGTTTGTGTAATTCTCCTTGCACACATTGGTTGGTATACTTGGGCCTTCGTATTTTGTCGACAGCAGCGGTTCGCGCACCACCGGGATCCCACAACGAAGTGATTGTTTCCACTACGTGCGCCACCTTGAGTCTGCGGATGTGGGCGGAACCGAGTTGATCGGATACAACCACACCGAAGATGACGTATCGTAAGCCGCATGCAGGTCAATTCTTGGACACTCTATCCCTCTGCAAAACAAGGACGGATGCCAAACCTCGCGACGATACGTCTTGGGAAACCTCGACTCTGCTACAAGATGCTTTCAAAACACATCCTCCGAAGTGTACCATATTCTTTCCTTGCAGACATTGAACTTGGAAAGTTGGTCAAATGGGGGGGTGTTGACCAAGCACTCACCATCGAAAGAGATTTCTTTCGTAAGCCTCCCTGAGCGGGCCAATCACGGCCTGGGACCCCAAGAACCGGACCTCTGGAACCTGTCAAGCAGACAAACAGAAAACACGCAAGACGCCGAAATGTTCCAATGAACCGTCGCACTTCCTCTCTCTAATCTCTAAAACCACCAAGAGGGGACGGGGCGAAGTCGTTGGTGATGATCGATCGCGAAACGAATCGATCGTGATAAAACGCCGAAGAAAAACGTCTCGCTTCTGCTGTCGACTGCTGCAGATCAGGATTGAACGAGGACAGATGAGGTCGAAAACTGTTTGCCGACCTATCCATCGTCGAGGGTGTCTTTTCTCATGCCTCTTGCTGTACTTGATTAGCAGCGGCTTGGGTTGTTGTGGATGGTGTTCCAAGGCCGATCTCAAGGCCGGTTTCGCCCCGAGAACGCGAGCACTGACGCGCATGACAACAAACACAAAGCTTTGCCGAAAAACACAAAACCCGCATCAACAAACGACACAGCTCAAATCACAACACTTCCACCGAGGGAACACGCCGGCGGGGGGCTTTGCCAAACAGGGTCGCAACGACAAAACTTGATGGCAACATTCCGTTTGCTATACACTTGTAATACCACTGCATGTTGCATCCGTCTCGATAGGGTGGCTAATGACTCTTCACGGACATTCGTCCCCTGCCCTTCTTTCGCTCCCGATAAATACAAGCTTAAGCTTTTCCGTCACTAGATCGACAAGAGCGAGAACGCCTTTGTTCTCGACCATTTCTACGGCTAGCATGCCGTATTCTGTCTTCGTATGGACGGGGTGGACCATTTCGAGTGCGTATATCCGGCCACTTTCGTGCTACAGCGGTCCTCTCACATCTCCGGGGGCTCGCGGGTCGATCTTGAGCATGACGGAGCAATGCCGCGCCACGGCTACTCTCCTGTGGGTGGTGGACCGTGAAGGCTTTTCCGGCTCCAGCACCCACGTGTGCTTGTCGAGGTCATCCAAGACCTGGTTTCAGCGCGCAAGCACACCGGTCGACGCAGTAACTTACACTTGTTGCCTCTTCGAAGTGCGTACAAACCGCCGCACCTTGCAGAGATTGTAGAGAGGCCGTTTGATGGCCGTTTTTCCTCGCATGTTCTACCGAGAGCTCCCAGTTTAACATCACAGCAGTACAAGGTGCGTACCTTGCAGAGATAGAGAGACTGCTGTTGGCCGTTTTTCCTCGCACTTTCTACCGAGAGCTTCACAGTTAAACATTACCGCAGCAGTGCAAGGCCCTGCCGGAGGATCATCGCCGGAGGTGGATTCCGACAACATGTACACGGACCACGTTCGTCACGATATCAAGCGTTATATGTTAAGTAGAGAAGGGGGTTTCGTAACCCTAGCCCTTAACCACAACCCCTACTAAAACCAAGGCATATTCTCGCGGAGGTCACTGATGTACCACAAGCACGCACGCACGCACGCGCGTCAGCCGAAAAGACACATTCAACTCTGGGCGGGCAGACCGTCGCCGAAACAGCAGCACTGCAAAAGGTTCCTCGCCTCTTTGTCCTTGCAGCCTCGAACAAACCAGCTGTTCCTTGCGTTTGAGAAACCCTCTGAAAATGTTGCTGCTCAGTCCATCCGAGCAACCTTGACAGTTAGTCACCACTGCTACTTCTGGTAAAGACAGCGGCTTGCCACGAATGGTTCATGCTGGAGTGCCGTACTGCTTGCCCAACGGTATAGCAGCACCCATCACGCAGATCCCCGTGGGTTCCGTGTGTGTAAGAGACTCGGAGCAGATGGGTCTCCTCCTGCTCAAGACCTCCCCGCGCGTAGTTGACCGATCAAGCCCTTGCGAACACAGCATGATGAAGGAGGGCCACAAGCCTTGAGCACAACGCACCAGCAAAGAACGCCTCCACAGACAGTCTCCGCACCGAACGAATCCCCCACTTCCCATGCCCCCACTCTCCACAAGCAGTACTACTTACTGCGAGTCCCCCGCCGCCCTACGCGAGAAATCTTGGACTGAAGCCAAAGCTCGTTCTATGCCACACGCAGCAGACCCTTCCGCCGCTCGGCGCGATTAATCCTCTACAAAAACCGAAGCTCGTCCTACACCACACGCAGCAGACACTTACGTTCCACAGCTCATGGAAGGGTGTCAGCGCCTCCCGGAACTGTTCCAGCACCGTCGCCAGAGAGCTCTGACCGGGCGACCATCTGCGAAACGGGTTTTGTGCCGGTTGGTTGGCGCCGTCAGGGTGGTTTCTCAGTGTAAGGGGCGTACAACCGGCCCAACCAAGTCCATATATATACACCAGGTGCCGCTCGACCCTCATTGTGCACACTCTTCCCCCGACCGGGTTGTACCCTTTTCTGTTTCACCATGCACATTTTCCACAAAAATACCCTCAAGAGAGAAAAATAAAAACGCCGTAGCACGGTAGGCTGGGAGTGAGATCTACGCCAAGAGGTGTGATTCGTGGGCGCCTCATACACGTGAAAGGCACGGGTTGGTTGGGAACAAGAGGGGGCGCGATTGACACCCGGGACGACCATGAGGGCGTGGAACAATCGAGTCCTGCTGTCAGAAACGTGCACACACGGACCGAAAGCTTCGTGACAAAACTAACGTAGCATGAGCCAGGCTTCTTGTTCCTGTGGTGCTTCACGAGTGTCAGTGGCAAACAGACCCGCGAGAAGTTTCGGTAGGGACGCAACTCCTCGTACGCAAAACACAGGCAAAGCCTATCTCCATCCCTCCAGGTGTGTCCGGAGAAGCTCCTGTCGTTGTCTGTGGACCCCCAAACACATGCCACGTACCGTGTGCGTTCCAAGGAGGTGTTTTGTACGGTATGGAAGCACTCCCTCTCCAAGTTGCGCCCGGAGGACTTACAACGAGGGCCGTTTCCTGCGAACACCCCAAACACATGTCATATTTTTGTATGTTGTCGTGTACGATGGTCGTGTACGGGTGGTAATGTAAGCACCCCACCCGCATCCTTCCAGCAAAACCCAAAAAACAGACCTGAGATTGAGGTGGGTCGGGAGGTCGACCGAACAGATGGGCGGGCTGTGTGGGTAGTTGCTCGGGAGGGAAATAGCGAAGACGTGCTCCCGTCCTGCGGTGAAAGAAAGGGTTGACAACGGGGGGAGGCCGGGTGGGTGGTGGCGGGCTATTCTCCCTCTCGTGCACGACTATTGAGCAGGGCGTGGGCCTTCTTGTCTAAGCCACAATACCACGGGAGGGCGGGGGGGGGGGGGGGGAGGCTCTTCACCAACCCTAGGCCCGACAAGGAGGAAAGCATTTGGATCAAGTGAAAAATCTCCGCGAGGGGTTCAGCAAGCTGCCCGAGGGGGATCTTGGGGGGTATGTATTGTTGCTTGCCGCTTTCGACCATGCACCCCTCTCCAAGCGACGTGGACCACATACGGATACCATGAACCAAATATCCCTGCAAGCATCACCACACCCAGAGCAGCAACAACGGGCGTCCTCGTTCTCCAGCAGCATCAACAACACCAACCCGTGTTATCTGTAGTAGCCTTGACAACACCAACCCACAACTGTCGGTTTGCAGCCTTTACCTGCAGCGTCTCTCTCCCTGAGCTGGACGGACGTCAGCAACGAGTCCATCGACACGAGGTGCGACCAACCGACGGCGTCTATCTCGGAAACCAGCCTCGAGTAGAACTCCGCCGGGGGCGGGTCCTGCTTCGGGCACGAACGCAGCACCTGCGGCATGCATGCAAGCAAACACCCCGTCTCGCGTCACAGCACCGGCGCCTCCGCGTGTGCGTGTTGTCTGGCTATCTGGGGACCTGTCTGTCATATCTGTAGTCTGTTTACATGTCTGTCCTTCCCTCTCGCTCTCTCTCTGTAGGTCTCTCTCTCTCTCTGCCTGGTTGGTCGCTTCATCAACAGGTCCCATTGTCTCTCTCCAAGGTCCGCGAATCTCATCCACTGCGGTCATTACCCCGCCTAGCACGCAAACAACGGCCAAGACCACTTGCGGCAAGCAACAAAAGAGTCCTACTGCCCCGCAAATCCTCCTCCTCCCTTACCCTACCAAGCCCGCTATTCGCGTAGGCTACGCCTGGTGACCAAGGGCTATACTCTCTTGGGTACGCCATCGGGCAGCAAGCAAATCCTATCTCGCTTCCGAAATAATGGTGTTTTTCACGGGGATTCCCACGACCAGCGCGCGTCAAGCGCGTGCCAAGCGCGGAGCGCTCGTACCTTCTCTAGCACGTCCGTAAGCTCCGCCATGAAGCCTTCCACGTCCTCCGTCTGCGCCAGCCGCGCGCGAAGGGTGTCCCAGACCCCCCTGGCCTCCAACAACGCCGACAGTTCCGGGTCGCAGCGGAAAGAAGCCAGGTCTACGATGCCGCGCCGCCCCTGGGGACATGCCATCGACACACGGTACTGCCGCCCCTATGCAGGAAGACGAAAGATAGATCCCACGTAGTAACATGGAATCAAGGCAGCGATGTACACACGTGTTGGGCCCAGGTGGACTTATGTAGAGCAGCAGGTACGGTAGTGGGTCCTCAACAACGCCAGTGTGTGCCCGGCGGCGCTGTTTAGAGGGACCGGCGCTATGTCGAAGTCACTTGGTCAGTCTGTAACCTACCCCGCTATTTTCACCCGCGCTGCACAGGGCCACCGGCGGTATTCAACCGGCGGTGTTGAGGGACCACTACTTTATGTAGTTGATATGGGGACTAGACTAATAGACTGAGGACGGAGTACTCCACGTCCGGTATCTGCTGCTGTGCATACCGCCAATTCACGCCAAGTTTAGAGAGCGATGCGGGAGGCTTTTCGGATCATGTGAGATGGAAACAGCTGCACTGGTAGATTCGTTACTGCTGTAGTGGTACTCGAGAGTGTGGGAACTCGCTCGTGACAGCGAAACACTACAGAGGCAGCACCACACCAAACACAGTAGCAATCAGGCCATAGCGATGCCGACAGATCTTGGGGGGGCTGGCACGGAAACTTGTTCGTATCCGAGACGAGCAGCTAGAAGGTCCTCATCCAGGAGCTATGCATACAAGATTACAGCATGCCTAAACACGTAAAATACTGCTGTACCATCCAGGTCGGTCGGCGCGAAAAAGGTTCCACGATCACCATGTAAGCATCGCAGACATCGATAAGGCATATCTGCTACATAATCGAGTATTCTCACTACAGCAGTAGCACCAAATAATGCTGCTCCTGCAGCTACATATGCATACGCATGCTTAGTACTTTACTTGGGGAAACGGGCCGCAGCAAGAAGCAGTGGAATATTGCTGTGGTCGGGTGCTCGTGTACACTTGTCTCACCATGGCCTCAACATATCCACCAAAGTGCCGCTGTGACGGGTCCAGCGGGAGGATCAAATCAGCCATGGCAGCACTGTGGAAAGCTCTGATGTTGCCCTCCCCCGTCCCCAAGCACAACACACATGATTGACCACGGCACTGCCGTGTGTGACATTTCGAAGTCTCAAAGTCTCCTCAGGGGGGTCTGCAGACCTCAGAACAACCCACTATAGTATGCTTAAGTTCCACACTGTCGATCCCCACCTGCGGAATGGCTCATGCAAGCTCATGTGGTTGTCTCTTGTCTGTGTTTCTCCGCTGTAGCATCTCCCGCACACAGCTCTCCTGGCCCGGTGACCTTGGTGTTCCTTCACTTTCCAGGCGCCCCCCAGGGTTCAACCGCGACAAGATCACGGAGAGGTACTGCTGTAGTCTCTGCATCCCAGGGAGAGGGAGGCAAATCCAAAAGCAGTGCTTCAAAAGATACGAAGATACGAGCGCATCCATCCCCTGACGCGAAAGATCATGAATCACACGCACGAGCGCTGCAACAGATTTCAATGCTATCGGAGGGGCTAACCCCCTATCAGGCACGTTGCTTGCTCAATTAAGGTCGCCCACACCACCACATCACTTACTTGCCGACGTTTTGAAGGATGCATTGTTTTTTTCAAGACATGTCAGGGATCATGTTACCGCATATACAAGGAGTACTTCTGCCACCTTTCCAGTACAAGCTGTGTCGTTGGTTGTCTAGATGTGTCGCGACAACGCAATAAGGATAAGTCATCACGACGGCCATCTCCTGCTCGTTCTACTCGTTCGTCAGTAATGATTACTACTGTAGATAAATTAGTGGAATGGCACCGATCGCCCGCACGCGCGTTGGCCCAAAAAATGTTTTTCGACGTCACATTGTAGCACCATGCTCCTCCTCGATACGATTTTGCCTTGTGCAGCATTCTTTTGAGGTCAATGTTTAAACAGGTACGGCATACGTACTCATAATTCGCGTCATTTTCTGTGTCTGAGTTCCATCAAAAGCACAAAGTCAAGGCTTGTACGGGCCGGGCCACAAACAAAAGTTTCCGAAGTCCATTCACTCGTGTGTGGCAAGTCCATCGCATCTGAAGTCATCCTGTCTGACCAACTTCCAACACCCTCCCGGCTCTGCCAAATTCGTCCGCGTCGTTCGGCCTGATCGGCAAGCGGTATGATGTCTCCTTCGTCGTTCGTCAAACGGAACATCGTTTGTCAAACGGAACAAGATTCGCCGCAGGAAAGGGACACGCCAAGCAGTCTAGCGGGTCCCATAGAGCAAGCGAAAATCCACGCCGCAAGAACACATTCCATTCGATTTTCGGGAGAACCAGACACGCGTGGGCATCCCTCACAGGTCACAACAGCCTGCCTGGCGAACCGCTACCTCCAACAACAATAACTGCATCTGGTGCTTATGTCGAAGCGAGAAACACTGTTTAGTCGTCATGGACAGCAACGTTCGACAAAGAAACGCGAACAAAAAATTGGCCTTCAAGGCTCCGACCAAGCCCAGCGTGTCTACCCGACGAGGCGTCTCGACCTACGGCCGCTAGCTACTCGGTGTTCGGCGTTGGCGCTGCCACTTTGTCGGAAGAGCTATCTGGAGGTGGCACGGGAAGGTTGTCGGTTAACCCAGACCCCGCACTGCCGCCGCCTGCTGCTGCTACTGCTGCTGCTGCTGCTGCCCGTGTCGCCCCGTTAACGGTGTTGCGCAAGAGCATGGCGATTGTCATCGGCCCAACGCCGCCCGGCACCTGCCACGGAACGCAGCACCAGAGGCGGCCGGCATTAACAGCAATGGTCTTGTCGAAGTGCAAACGTGGGCGAAACGTGCCCTCACACACTCAACCAAGATACAAATTGCCTGTAGTCACGGACTTGTCGTGCCAAAGAAGACGCGATGCTCGTCGCACAGCTATGGGGAGACTGCCGGACGAACATGTTTGAATCACGCAGCGAGAAACTCAACAAACTCCTGAGCAAGCGGCAGGAAGGTAATGAAAGCGCCGGAATTTATGCGAGACCCACCGGAGTTATCTTGGCAGCAACCTCTTTGGCTGCCTTGAAGTCCACATCTCCCACCAGACGATACCTTTTCGGAAGACGGTCGGAACAGGCACAAACGGGGGTGCAAGAAAACATGGAATGCATATCGCGCATCTTCATCCAAAACAAGCGGGCATGAGGATAATAAACGAACGGCAGCACGACGGTGACTCGCAGCAGTCGTAGCAACCGTACCCGTGACACGCTGGTGCTGTGGCCGCTGGAGCTGGATGCGAGCAACAAGCAGCTCGCGCCGTCAACGGACAAAAAAAAAACGAAAATCAGACAACCGTTTGGCCGGCTTCGGCTTGAGCCCCCTTTGACGACGGCGGGCGTGTCCCGCAGAGGTGGCCTCCATGGCGATCCCCTCAGCTCGCAGCTTGGGGCGCGCAGTCCGCCAAGCAACAACAACGAAGCACGGCACAAACGCGAAGAAGAACGGCGGGCCGTCCCATGCGCCCTGACACGAAAAAACCACACGAGTGTCCACCCCATATGCGCTGACACGAGAAAACCAGGAATGTCCCACCACTTCGCATACAAACCATTAAAACGACACCGTTCACAGGCTAGCGCCACGCGCGCGCTCGCTTGCTCACCCCTTCTTCGTGGTGGCGTCGTCCACCGAGTTGATCCCCACGTCGATCACGGCAGCCCCGGGCTTGATCCAATCCGCCTTGACCATCTCCGCCCTACCCGCTGCGCAAACGACGATGTCCGCCTCCCTCACCTTTCGACGCCGCGTCGTAACGCAACGACCCCCCCCCCCCCCCCCAAAAAAAAAAAAAAAAAACGATGCCCGGCGAAACAAGGGGAAAAACTCTTTACCCAGGGAAAGGAAACAAGGGCCGGAAAAACGTGGAACTTAAAGGCACTTTTCCTGTTGGTGCAGCGTGACTCAAGAAGATTGGGGCGGGGGCAGGAAAAAAACGGAGGGGGGGGGGGGGG